TGATGGCTAGCGGGCGGCAGGCGCTTCACCTGCAGACCGAGCCGGCTGCTCTCCCCTGTTCAGATAAGGCAGCTGAGGCCCAGAGAGGCGAATGGCTGCTGGAGTCCATCTGGCCTGCAGATCTCGAAATTAGGGGGGCGTGGGTGCCTGGGCACAGGCTCAGGGACGTTGGCTGGTGATAATTGGAGAGCGGCAGCGGCGAAGCTCCAAACATCACCTGGTCTGAGCCAGAAGAGATGCAACCCAGGGGAATGAGGGATAAAAAATCAGCCTGAAGAGAAAGGCAACAGAAATAGATGGGGAAGCCTGGTAATTGGCCCAAACAAGGAGAGAGCAATATTTTACCGATAGTAAAACAGCCCGTTTCCCTGGCAGCCAGCTCAGCAGTCCAGCTGTGTGTGCTTCAATGACAACAGCTGCTCCTGAGGCCTGCCAGGCCCAGTGTGCCCATCAGTCCTGGCCTGGGAGCCACGTGGAGCTCCCAGGGCGGCCTGGCCAGGCGTGGTGGGTGCACCACCGGGTGGGCCCCTGCACCTGTGGCCCCAGTTCGTCATGAACACCACGTATGGAGATGATTTGATGAACTCGCTGTGTGACCTTGAGTGAGCCCCTCCCCTCGCTGGGCCTGGGATTCCCCGTCTATAAGAGGAAGGGCTGGGTCAGCGGAGTGTACCCCTGGGGGTTCCAGGGACTTTGCAGTGGCCGTCAGGCCCCCGTCTATCTGCCTGTGATCAAACAGCCCCACACCTCTGCTCCAGGCTGCCTTTCCCTGGAGGCAGGGGGCCGGACAGCCTGGCCCCACCAGTCTCCCAGCCCCAGGACATATGGACTCCCCACAGCCTGCTGCCTCTTACACGCATCTGAGGTTGGCATCAGCCATTCGACACCCAGTGGCGACTCTGCCTTGACCTGCATCAGAGATCATTAAGGCATAGCTCCAACTCTGAAGAGGACTGTAGGGGTGAGTGTGGGGAGGCTGGCGGGTACCAGGTGCCCCAGCTCAGCCCTGCATTCATAGACTCCCTGCAATGCCAGCGATGAAAGGGCAGGGGGAGAGGAAGTGGGATGCCCGCTGGGGTGGTGGGTGGGCTTCTGGCAGCCCTGCGGGTAGCACCTGGGCATCGCCATTCTCAGAAGCCGCATTGTTGCCTGGCAGCGTCAGAGGCTGCCTTGGTGCAGGGAGGGGCAGCTGCTACGCTGCGGAGGCTGTACTGGGGCAGGAGCTGGCAGAAAGCCGCCTTCCTCCTTCACTGGAACTCCTCCGGCCTTTCCTAAGAGCCCACTAGGTACCAGGTCTGGGGAGTCACGGAGAGATGCCCACTCGGTACCCCCAGGCTCACAGCGGAGTGGAGAAGCAGGGTCAGCTGGAATAGAGGGACAAGCGCAGAGCCACCAAGCTCAGGGAGGAAGGAGAGATGCCTATGATAGGGTCTCCCCTCGCTCACTGCCATCTTCCAAAGCCAGCTGGGCACGTCCCCGTGATGCCAAGCCACTGGCAGTGACAAGGGCTTCAGCCCCTGCTGCAGCTGCTAGGCTGGAAAAGTATGAGCACGTGGGAAACATGGTCCTTACGAATAGATGAATCCCCCTACACGGCTTAGGCTTCAAGCATCTGGGGGCGGTGTGGGCTGGAGAGCATCTGCCGTGGCATATTGATGTGACGGCAGTGACGTAATCTTTTTCCCCCCCGTGCTGTGCTCTACACTTCCCAAAGTGCTTTCATATCCCCCGCCTGCCAGCCAGCCCAGAGGAGTGTGAGAAAGAGCTCATCCTTGCCAGACTCGGTACTGATGGTGTTTACCAGGGGGAGGGGGACGTGCCTGACGAAGAGCGTGTGAGGATGTGTGCACGTGTGTCCGTGTGACTCTGTGTGGTTAGTCATCAGCCCCCAGCCCCCAGCCCCCAGCAGAGCGCCCAGCACGTCGGAAGTGCTCAGTGGTTGCTTGTCAAATGAATAAGTGAATGAATGCCTGAATGCGTGCTTCCGTGTGTGCTGGGGAGGGGCTGCTGATAAGTTACAGGCTGATTCAGAAGAGGGCTTCTGGGAGAAATGTCAAGAAACTGAATTTCCTGTGTGAGAAATTTCAGGGGAAAAAATGGCTCCAATTAATTAGAAAAGATAGTCCCTACAAAATTGGCCACTGCTAAAAACTAGCAAAAAATACCCAGTGCTCACAAGCTGAAGTTGCTCTGATTGAAGACGAAATTAAGACATCTTTACAGAGAACAATTTGGCAACTGTAATCAAAAGCCTTAAAAACTTAGGTGTTTTGGGGGCCGGCCCATGGCCGAGTGGTTAAGTTCGCGTCCTCCACTGCAGGCGGCCCAGTGTTTCCTCAGGTCGAATCCTGGGCACGGACATGGCACCACTTGTCAAGCCACACTGAGGCAGCGTCCCACATGCCACGGCTGGAGGGACCCACAGCTAAGAATATACAACTATGTACCAGGGAGCTTTGGGGAAAAAAAGGAAAAAGATAAAATCTTTAAAAAAAAAAAAAAACTTAGGTGTTTTGTATTTGTTTATTCAGCAATTATTTGTGAAGATTCTATTATGTGCCAGTCATGGTGGGAGCTACCAAGTATACAGTGGTGATCAAAACAGACATAATCCTTGCCCTCAGGGAGCTTACTTTCTAGAGGGGAAGATACAAATTGATAAAATTATCACATAAACATATAATTACACATTGCAACAAATGGTTTGAAGGAAAAGTACAGAATGCTACAAGACAGGATAACAGTAGGGTGGACCCTAATTAGATGGGAGTGATCAGGAGGCTTGTCTAGAGGAGAAACATTTAATACAGGTACAATCAGAGACCTGAAGGATGAGTAGATGTTGCCAGGTAATGAATGGGGAAGACAAGCATTTGTGATGTAGAGAACAGCATGTGCAAAGGCCCTCAGGCAGAAAAGAACTTGGTTTTCTTGAGGAACTCACTGAAGGCCAGTATGGCTGGCATGCATTGAGTGACAGAAACAGCGGAAGGCGATGGGGCTGGAGGGGCCAGATCGTATAGGGCCTTGGAGGCCACATCACAGCATTTGGATTTTATCCTAAGTATAGTGGACAGTCACTGGAAAGTTTTATGCAGGGAAGTGGTGACCTCATCCACTTAGAGTGGAGGCTGAATTGGAGGGGGCTGACGGTGGAAGAGGGTAGATGAATTAGGAGACCTGCGTAGACAGGGAAGGAGATGATGATGGCTGGACCAGGCGAGATCTCAGGGGTGGTGTGGAAAAGAAGGCAGCTTTGGGATATGGCATTCAGGTATGGAGTGGGTATGGGGGAGAGGGCGCAGTCCCAGGGACGCTGAGGACTATGCAGTGGGCGGGAAGGGAGGAAGGACGTGTCAGGGAGTGAGACGTTTAAGTGAGTGATACTGGAGGTGGGACAAGCAATGGTGATGACTGATCCTCAGTGTGGACAAGGGACTTGGTGGCTGAGGTGGGATGTGGGAGCAAGGTCACTGGCAACCAGGAAGTCAAGGATCTGAGAGGCTGGGGAGTGGACTGGTCATCCACACAGCTGGAGAAATCCCCACAGATGAGTCGTAATAGCAAACAGTTGTAAATAACCAAAATGCCCAACTCTTAAGGGTGGCTGAGTCTGTCGTGGTATAGCTACTGTGCAGAAGATTTCGTAAGCACTAAACACGTGGGTGGTACCGGGGCGGCGTGTTTCTGCTCTATGGTTATTGAGGGGAGAACTTCCCCACCATCAGGAATTGCGGACTCCTTTGGGCTAAACCTTATTTACTATTTTTTAAAACACTTTTTATTGAAGTATAAGGTAGAAATACAACAGGAAAGTACACCCACCGCAAGTGGACAGACAGCTCAGTGAGCTTTGACCATGCAGCCAGCCCTCAGATCAAGAAATACACCCCCCCCCCCCGCCCCGCTGTCTTCCCCTCCTACAAAGCTCTGTAGATGTAAGCCACTATCCGACGGTGACTGCTTTGCCTTAAATCTTATTTGATTTGTAATTTACAATTTTTAAATAATGTATACAAATGTTACATAATTATTTCCTCCTTGAAGACAAAGGGGAATTTGACCAAGAATCTCTCAGAACTATAAAATATTTTTTAAAAGTGGTTAAAATTATGTGTTTTAAAGAAAAGAAGGGCTGGTCTGGTGGTACAGTGGTTAAGTTCGCACGTTCCGCTTCTTGGTGGCCCAGGGTTCACTGGTTTGGATCCCAGGTGCGGACATGGCACTACTTGGCGCACCATGCTGTGGTAGGCGTCCCACATATAAAGGAGAGGAAGATGGGCACGGATGTTAGCTCAGGGCCAGTCTTCCTCAGCAAAAAGAGGAGGACTGGCAGTACTTAGCTCAGGGCTAATCTTTCTCAAAAAAAAGAAAAGAAAAGAAGAGTGGGAAAGGGTGGGGTTTTGATTCATTCTCTTTTCGAGAGTCTCTGCAATGAATGTGTATTATTATTATTGTGAGGAAGGCTGTCACTGTGCTAACATCTGTGCCTATCTTCCTCTACTTTGTACGTGGGACGCCACCACAGCATGGCTTGATGAGCGGTATGTAGGTCCGCACCCAGGGTCTGAACCTACAGACCCCGGGGTGCCAAAGTGGAGCGTGTGAACTTAACCACGATGCCACCGGGTCGGCCCCGATGAGTGTGTATTATTTTGGAAAGAAGCCACTAAGTTAAAGAATCAGAGCCTTCACTTTCCTCACGCCAGTCTTTGTGGGAAGGACTTGGGGACGAAGCTCGGCCCGACAAACCCGTCTTCTGAGCCCTGCCGTGTTGGTTTTGCTTTTCTGCACTCGTGCAGTCTGGTGACCCCAGGAGAGTGAGTCGGCCCCACTGCTGTCTGAGGCTGGTGCTCACCCCAGGTTGAGAGCGGAGGGGGCTAGGAGGGCACTGCTGGCATCCCCTTGGCTCCGTTGACGAGCCCTCCCTCCACCCAGCTCCAGGAATCCCCTGGGGCATCTCTGGGGGCCTCACACCTGTCCTTCCTTCCTTCCCACAGGTGGAAAAACTTGTGAAATATTTGGATCCCAACCACCTGGGGAGAATCAACTTCAAGGACTTTTGCCGAGGGGTGTTCGCCATGAAAGGTGAGGTCTTCTTGGTGGGGAGGGTCTTAGGGGCTCTCAGGATCCTGTTCAGCTGGGGACGCTGCATGACTTGGGTTTCAGCTCCGACTCCTCCCTCTGGGGGTCCCAGGAGCCTGGGATGGGTTCCAGAAGTGGGCTCCGCCCCGGCTCCCCACTCGGGCCGAGGGGCAGAGTCTTGGGCTCCCGCAGCTGCCCCAGCCATGGAGGTGTTGGGTGTCTCTGAACCTCTGCCGTGGAGTCCGCCACCCAGAGCCAGGCGTGCTGGACAGCGCGACGGTCCTCTCTGCCCTCCCCGTGTCTGTCCCCCTCTGCTTGCTTTCCTCTCGCTCTCCCTCGTCTCCTGAAGGACGTCCTGTCCCTCTAGGATGACCCGGCTCCTGAGAGGTTCCCCAGGAAACTTTAAAACCGGGACACTTCTGGGCAAACCTGGGCACCCTCCCCCCCACCTTCCAAGCTTCCTTCCTTTGTTCCCTACCTTCTGTCCTCCTCTAAGCTCCCCTAAGTCCTTCCTTTCCTCTCTGTCCCCCGCTTTAAGGGGACAATATACAATCCCTCTCTGTTGTCCCCTATCACAACCCAGTTGTGAGAGACCCCCAGGAACCCGAGGGTGACCCCTCTTGCTCACCACTCAACTGTTTGTCTCGAGAAAGTGGCTTAGGTCTCCCCTTGGCCCTGGAGAGGATAGTTTACGTCCTAAGGTACGTCCCGTGACCTGGGAGGGAAGCCGTGTCTGCTGTCAGAGTGGGTCAGGTCCAGATGGATCCTCTGTGGGGTCCGTCAGAGCCCTGGGAGGGGGGTAAGGAAGCAGTTACCACACTAGAAGTGAGAGGGGAAGAGAAAGGGGGCCGCACCCAGCAGGCCCCCAGGAAAGCTTTCTTTTTTCTTTTTTTGAGGAAGATTAGCCCTGAGCTAACTACTGCCAATCCTCTTCTTTTTGCTGAGGAAGACTGGCCCTAAGCTAACATCCGTGCCCATCTTCATCTACGTTATGTGTGGGACGCCACCACAGCATGGCTTGCCAAGTGGTGCCATGTCCACGCCCAGGATCCAAATGGGCGAACCCTGGGCTGCCAAAGCGGAACGTGCGCACTTAACCACTGCACCTTCGGGCCGGCCCCCTGGGAAAGGTTTCTGAATGCAGTTGTTTGACTCTCCAGGGCCACCATAACTGTCCCTGTCATGGGCCTATGCCAGGCACTGCGCAGGTTTGACCTCCTGTGTCTGACATGATGTGGAGGCATTTGCTCAGGGACTGGGGAGGGAGGCCACCTGTGTAAGTGAGTCCCCCTGTCTCCTAAGGTGAGGGGGGGCCCTATCCTAGATTTTCTGGAGTTTGCAGGGCTGAGGAGGGCCTCAGCCTCAGGGGTATGGGTGCATTGGAGTCCCTGTGAGGCAGGCAGGGATTGTTGTCTTCTAGCCCTTCCTCCAGGAAGGCCTCCTTGATTCCCTTTGCCCCCAGCCCGCCCTGGGCATTTAGGAGTCCCTTTTCCGTATGTTCCCTGTTGGAGAGAGTCTCGGTAGGAGAACATCTGGAGGGCGAGGACCTGTGTCAGCCTCATCCGCAGAGCCCTGGACTGGCCTCTCCAGCGCCTGCGTGCTCCATCTCACCTTTGAACCATCAGCTGGCTGCCCCCGGCAGCTTTTCCTGCCCCGGGCCCAGCCATCAGGAGCGAAGCTGCCATGCTGGGCTGAGGCTCTGACGCACCGTCTGTCTGTCTGTCCACAGGCTGTGAGGAGCTACTGAAGGACGTGCTGTCCGTGGAGAGCGCCGGGACGCTGCCCTGTGCACCCGAGATCCCAGACTGCGTGGAGCAGGTAAGAGGGGTCGGCTGCAGGCAGCCCCTCCTCTGCAGGGATGGGGACAGCCCTGCGGCCCACCCTGCCCTGGTCTTCCTGCCTTTGCTCCCCCTTTTGGTGTCTGGCAGGCCCCAGAGCCCCGTCTGAGGACCCTCTGGCTGCAAAGTCAAGAGATAGTCTTTGGAACCAGAGCTGCAAAGCCCCTTGGGAAGCCACAGCAGAGAGTGTGGGAGCTGAGGGTCCTCACAGAAGACCTTGACTCCCCCTCTATGATCCCAAGGAGAAACTGAGCCCAGAGAGGGAAAGTGACAGGCTTTAGGTCAACAGCAGGCAAGAATACAATTTTTTTTCCTCCTGTGCCATAACCCACTGAGCCAACAGATCTGGGTGTGTTTTTTTCCAAAACAACGACCAGTTCCCCAATGCCCCAATTCTCCAGCATCATTGGGGTGTCCTGCAATTCAGTTCAGTTTTGACACTAACCACCCAGAGTTAGTTCAGACCCCAGGATCGAGGACTCAGTGCCATAAGACTGCCCGCACTTGGGGGCAGACGCAAATGGGATGCCCAGGCTACCTGCACTTCTGCCAGGCCCACTGCAAATGTGGGGATTCCCGCGACCCGCCCCCAGGTTCAATAATTCACTAGAACAGTGCAGAGAATTCAGGAGAATATTTGCAATTATTGGTTTATTATAAAGGATACAAGTCAAGAACAGCCGAATGGGAAGGCTGCATGGAGCTAAGTGGGGGCAGGGGGTTGGCACAGAGACCCCGAGTCCTTTCCAGGGGCCCGGCCTTCCCAGCGCAGCAGTGTGCTTCCAGCCCTGAAGCTCTCCATCTCTTTGTTCAAGAGTTTTTATAACCAGGGGCCAACCTGGTGGCGCAGCGCTTAAATGCGCATGTTCCGCCTCGGCGGCCCTGGGTTCACTGGTTCGATCCCGGGTGTGGACATGGCACCATTTGGCAAGCCATGCTGTGGTAGGCGTCCCACATAGAAAGTAGAGGAAGATGGGCATAGATGTTAGCTCAGGGCCAGGCTTCCTCAGCAAAAAGAGGAGGATTGGCAGCAGATGTTAGCTCAGGGCTAATCTTTCTCAAAAACAAACAAAAACAAAAAACTAGTAAAAAAAAAAAAAACAAGATTTTAAAAAAAAGAGTTTTTATAACCAATCTCCAGCCCCTCTCTCCTCCTGGAGGTGAGGGTGGGTGGGGCTGGAAGTTCCCCCCTTCTAATCACTGTTTGGTTTTCTGGTGACCCGCCCCATCTTGGTCTCTGGCGTCCCTACCCTGAGTCACCTCATTAGCATGAACTCAGGTGTGTCTGGAAGAGGCCCCCTTAAATAACAAGTGGCGCTCCCATCGCTCGGGACATTCTAAGAGCTCAGGGCCAGGAACTGGACAGAGAGCATGGTCCCCATGGCTCTGCTTCACTGTTGTCATCAGCTAATGGTTTCTTTGTTATAAAACTTTGAACTATTTTTCCAAACACTTGCAGCTTCATCCTACAGAGAAAAACAGGTTAAGATGTGTATTGACCGTCTCTGAGGTCCCTTCTGGCCCAGACACCCCAGAGCTAGAGACGGATGATCTTGGTTTCCCTTCTGGGCCAGCTCCAGAACCTCTCCTCCACCTCTGGTTGGTGTCCCATCTGGACCCCAAACCTGAGCTTCTTCTATATCTGAAGGAGGCCCAGGACTGCAGAGGTCACTTTGGCCAATGGCACCCCTCTTGGGATCCCGCTGGGTGGTGGGCTCAGGGCTGGGATTGGGTGAGGGGGAGTCCGTACAGAGGCCGTGATGCTGAGGGCTGCCCAGAAAAACAGTGTTGGAGAAGGCCAAGGCTCAAAGGTGGCAGAGACCAAAGCCAGCCCTAGGTGTGGGGCCAGGACCTCCAAGGTCAGGTCAGGTGGCTTCCCTTCAGGATGCTGTGCCCGAAACCAGGGCCCTCAGGGATGGGTGAAGAGAGCAGGGCTCCCGGCAGGCACGGCGGCCAGCAGGAGGGCTCCAGGCCTGCCTTGACGGGTCTAGCGGATGTGCGGTGAATGTGCATTTGGGGCCAACTAATGGGACCAGGACCAGAGCGGAGGACCCCGAATGTGGGGCAGACACTGAGTGCCCCCAGAGTTTTTTGGAGTGGGCCTCTTGGGGCTTGCTGACCAGGGAGAAGTGAGGAGGTGGGCCGAGGGGTCATTCAGAGCTGGGTCCGTACCCCACCAGGGCCACTGACTAACCATGCAAACCGGGGCAAGTTACTCTCAACCTCTCCGAGCCTCAGTTTGCTCAGCTGTAAAAGAGGGCTTATGATGGTGGTGTAGACGACACGGGAAAATTCGGAGAGAAAACAGACAGCTAATCCAGGAGAACGCCCTTCCTCCTGGTGCTGTGTCTCGGAGATGAGGATGAGAAAGCGGTGCTGAAGTTGTAGTTTCCATCTTTCATTTCACCCTCGGATACTGGTGTTTCCAAATTCCATCAACGTAAAGGCCTGCCGGCGAGGAGCCAGGGCTGGGGCTTCCCCACCAGGGGTACCCGGGGAGGGGTCGTGTTCCTGCAGCCGCGGCCGGCTTTCGTGGCCCCCACACTGCGCCGTCCACACTGGTGGGTGGAGAAAAGGTGAGAAATGAGCACGGAAGAGTTGGCCTCCAAGAGGGTCATCTTTTTAAAGCAATATTGTTTTTCCGAAATACAGAATCTAGAGGTTATAGAAAAGCAGAAAGATCCTGTCAGTGGAATCTCAGCACCACAGTGCTCTCCTCATTTTCTCTCTCTCGGAAATTTGCACACCCTAGGTTTTCATTGCTTTCAGTTGAAGCCACTCCCGGGTGAACCATTTTGTGCCCTCCACGTAGGTCTGTCCCTTGCAGGTGTTCCGGTTGGCAGGAGCCTGGGGAGATGGCCATTGACCACGGACACAGCCGGCGGCCTTGTTCGTGAGCACCCGGCAGGGAGCTTGGTTGACCTGGGCTCTGTTCCTCACTGTGGGCTCCTGAGTGCTGGGAGGAGGCTGACAGGGGACAGTTCTAAGACCAGCCTGCTGGGGTCGGGGGTTCCTGGGCCCTGTGATGTAAGGAATCCCCTTCCTGGCTGAGGGTCCTGTAATGGGCAGCTCTGGGCTCCACTTGGCTAAAGGCCAGGAGGGATGCGACCACGAAGGGGGAGCTCAGGGGGCCAGCCCCTTGCAGGTCCTAATCTTGTAGGCCAGGCCCTCAGTGCTCTGCTGTGTCCCAGCTGTCCCCTAGGGGTCAGCTTGAGACCAGCCAAGCCAGTGGGAGCCTGGATCACTACTTGGATTTCCCAGGTGCTGCTGGGGACAAAAGTCAGAGGAGTGGTTTGGGGACCACGCAGGGATGACACACAATGGGACAGCAGGAGCACACCCGTCAGGGCAGGGCAGGGACCTCTGACGTCACCACTTGATAAGAGTCTGGGCGGTGAACAGCTGTGATGGGGCATCCTGAGCACACCTCACCCCTCTCCCAGGCCCCATGAGCCCCACCACCACTGGGGTACAGAGCAGGGGCTCTGGGCCTGCTGTCCAGACTTGCAGGCCAGTGTGAGTCCATCCTGGATAAGTGGCACTTGCACCACACCAGTTCCAGAACTTACTGCATGTCACCCTGCCTGTGTCCTCAGAGCCTGGGATGCCCTGGCACAAAAAGCCTCGTTGAGCTGGTTAGAGGGGGGTGCTGGGTGTGCCTGGTGTCTGTGGACGGGCGTCCCCAGGCTGAGGCCTCAGGGAACACCCTGGGGGCCCTACTTGAGGCTGCCCACTGTCCTCCCTTTTTTGAAGCCCCCAATCCATATGGTGTAGGGGTCTGCATGGGGACAGGGTAGGGGCAGGTGCAGAGAGCCCCACCCTCAGGCCTCAAAGGCCAGGGGGTTGAGATGAAAGCTCACCCCACAGCGCTGTATGATCCTGGGCCCTTGCTCATTCCCTGACGTGGGCGAATTAAGAGGGAACCCATAAATTGAATAGGGCGTCCAGCCATCTGCTTCTATGTACCCGCCATCTCAGCGAATGGTGTCACCATCCAGCCGGTTCCCAAGCTGGAAAGTCATCCCTGATGCCCCCACACATAGCCGGCCTGAGCCCTCCTGTCCCTACTCACCCCCCATCCCTCTCCCACTGCCGCCTACCGGCTCTCCTCGTTGTCCCCAGCCTTTCTCTCTCCAGCCCCGCATCCCACAGCTGCCTCAGGATCTTCCTAAGGAGCTGCTCTGACTTTATCACTGCCCTTCTGTGGCCCCTTATCACCAATGGGAGAAAATCCAGCATCAGCTCCTACCCACTTCTCCAGCCTCATCTCTCACCACAGCATATCTCACACCCCAAAATTAGGGACACCCAACTGCTTCTGGTTTTCTGAAAAGGCCATGTTCTCTCTTGCCACTCAGACTTTGAACAAGTTGTCTTTCTCCTGGCATGTTCTCCCACCCACTGTCCCTAAGCTAACTTCTGCTCATCATTTAAGACTTATAAAGGTACCACCTCCTCCAGGAAGCCCTCCCTGGTTCCCTCTGCCCCAGCCTGCCCCCCTAGCCTAGAGGATGAACCTGCACTGAGCTTCCTTGGGGCCCTACACCCTCCATCACTGCCTTAACCTCACCCATCAGGACGGCTCCATGTTCCCAGCACGGTGACACCATTTTTGCCTCGTGGCAGGGCTCGGGCTGAGCTCCCCATCACACCCAGCACAGCGCCCAGAGCGAACATCCTTCTCCATGTTCCAGAGAGGGTTTCTCTAAGTATTTTAGGGTTAACTATCTAGGAATGGAATTGCTGTGTCAAAGGGTATGCACTTTTTTCTTTTAACAGATGTGTCCAAATTTTTCTTCCAAAAAAGATCACACCGATCGTGTCATCCACCAGTACATGAGAGTGCCCATTTCCTCCTTTGCCCACCCTGGAAGCTCTCCATCTCCCTGCAGGTCTCCCCTCCGTGCCTCTCCTTCCCTTCTCCTACTCGCCAATCCGGCGGAGAAAACTCATTCTCATGTCATTTGTGTTGCCATGTGC